GGGGAGGAATCTGAGTGCAGTGCTCTGTGCAAGCATCTCCCTACTGCCTCATCCTTCCCATGTTCTCTGGTTTGCTGGGAAACGCACAGAAGCAGTTTCACTAATAAGCAGGCTATTTCAATCTTTTGTTATCTTTCAAAATGGTGGCACTTAAAAGCAATAGCTAGCCCGTGTGAGCGAGGGATGCAGGAAAGCTGCTGACACTGTCTGCTGTGTGCTCTGCTGACACCTTCTGTGGAGCTGACAGCCTGTTGCAGGGCAGGGCGGAGCTCATGGCTCCAGGTCACAGTCTGTCTCCCCCGGGCGCTGAGCCTTCTGCTTCCAGAGTGGGGCCTTGCATCGCCTCACACAGGCAGAGGCCTACCAGCAGCGCTCTTACAATTTCTGCCTTCAGAGAGTTAAGGTGAAGTGTCTCAAACAGCAGAGCCACAAAAGCAGCTAACTGATCTAGGAGCGATAATTAAAGGGCAAAATGAAAAGAGCTTAGACACACGGCTCCATAAAGCTTTGCAAAAATGCAACTTGTATCACACAAAGACCATTATCTCAGCCAGAGGAACAGCGAGCTGGGCGAGGAGCAAAATCAAATCTTAATCCCAGGGAGGGAAGACCAATTTAAACCCTCCATCCTTGAAACATTCTCAATTAATGAGGCCGCACTGCAAGGCTCTCTCCTCCTTAAAATTCTCTTTAGAATTAACACTTTGGTTACCAGAGATGTCAGCACATTCTAACAACACCCCCCCTTTGGAAGTCCAAGGCTGTGACAGTAAGACCCACCCAGCCCTTGCTGTGCCCCTGAACTGAAGGTGGTCATGGCACAGTAAGACTGAGATGTTTGGACTGCACGTCCTTCACTCACGGGCTGACAGGAGGCGGCTGCCCTGCCCTTGTGCCTGGTGTGTCCATTAAAGCCAGCGGGTTCTTTCTCTTTCTTTCTTTAACATAGAGGAAGAAATGTCCCGATTCCGTGATGGATACTCACAAGCATCACTGTTTTATGATTAACCCTCCACCCCCCAAAACTGCATGTTTTTAATGTAGTTTACATCAGCCATTAAGTGATCATGGAAAAATAGATAACTCTGAGTCTGAAGAACAAATAACACATTTTCATACAGACATTAAGAATAAAGGTACAGCATCAACGAATTTGAGAATTGAATTACCTCAATAGTTGCTTTTGAATAATTTCAATACGAAGCACTCTGAATACATTAAAAATTATACCTGTCAAAATACAAGTTCAGGGTCATCTGACAAAATGATCAAATTACCTTGAAGGCACATCATTCTGTACAATAAATATGCCAAGGTCAAGTCTGAAAATATCCTTTAGTTTTTTTTTGCAGAGACACAGACTCACTTTGTCACCCTCAGTAGAGTGCTGTGCTGTCATAGCTCACAGCAACCTCGAAGTCCTGGGCTCAGGTGATTCTCTTGCCTCAGCCTCCAGAACAGCTGGGACTACAGGTGCCTGCCACAACGCCCGGGTATTTTTTTGTTGTAGTTTGGACAAGGCCAGGTTTGAACCCACCACCCTTGGTATATGGGGTCGGCGCCCTACCCACTGGAAAACCCTATCCTTTAGTTTTTTTAAGAAAGAGTCTTACTATGTCATTCTCAGTAGAGAGGTGTGATGTCATAGCTCACATAAATGTCTAACTTTTGGCCTGATGTGATCCTCTTGCCTCAGCCTCCCTAGAAGCTGAGACTCCAGGTACCCATCTCACTCTTGCTCTGGGTGGTCTCAAACTCCTGAGCTCAGGCAATGCACCAGAGAGCTGGGATTACAGGTGTGGGCTGCCACACCCAGCTTTCTTCAGTTTTTAATTGTGTGAAAACCGTGATGCACTTTAAGTTTTAACTGAACTTGGTGATGCCTTAGTTGAGGCATATTTGAGATAAAGCCCTTTTCAAGTGTATTATATTTATAAGGTTTCCAGACCATCAATTCTCTAATATTTTTTTAAATTTGTAGAACTCGGTATGAATTTCCTGGTTTTCTCTAAGACTTGAACATTAAGGAAAGAATACGGAATAGTTTTCCCATGTTTAGAATCTCCTTGTGCTATGAATTTTATGATGTTCAGTAAGCCTTGAAAGACAGCTAAAAGCTTTGCCACTTTCCTAGTATTTACAGGGTTTCTACTCAATATTATCTATACTTTGACGTTGAGTATGATGTCAAAAATGCCAGCAGGTTCTTTAAAACCAGCAAGGCATTAAGCAGGCGTCTACTTTATCCCAAGCAAGGCTCAGGGACCACGTGATGCAGACGTACCACAATCTGATGGTTCCCCATCCTCTTGGTCAGGGGAGTTTGGAAGAGG